CAAGAGGAGTCCACGGAGGTCAGAGCTCTGCGCCCTGGGGGCCGGGGTGGGTGGCTGGAGTGACCACGCCCACTGCCTTCCTCTCATACACTGGGCAGGAAGACACAGGCAGTCCACCCTTGAGCTCGATGAGGATAATTTTTATCCAGTGCCAGAAGAGTTTTGGTTCTCACGCTAAAACTTTTTTACATGCCAAGATAGTGAATTGTTACATTGTATTTTTACATACATACACATATATAGAGAGAGAGAGGCTCAGTGTATTGGTTTAAATTTTGAGAATTCACCCTAAAGACAGAGTTTGTGTAATTGCATGATGATGATAATGATCAGCATTGACAGAGTAGGCTTTTACTGTGTGCCAGACACCAGCAAAGTTGTATATTTTCTTTTTGAGTCTCACAGTGGCCCTGTGAGGTGGATAACGTTGAATCCCTAATTTGCAGATGAGGAGACTGTGGCTCAGGGAATGCAACTGTTATACTCCTTGGTGCTGAAGTCAGGATACAGGAGTAAGAAAGTGCAGGGTCCTATAGCACCTAGACTTTTTACAAAAAGGATAGCTGGTTTGTGGACTGAGGTAACAGGTTGGATATATCTGCCTGATTGCCCAGGGCCCAGGACTTGGTGATGGTTCTATACAGGACGCTTGGGTACTACAGTAAGGAGAAAAATGAACAAACTGAAAAAGTAAACAACCTGTGACAACATGAGAGCAGCCCTTTTGGATTTAATGCAGTTTTTCTGTAACTTTCATTTCAGTCATTTTTCAGCTTTAAAACAAGAAACCAGTTTATTTCTGTAAGTAGGTAGATCTCATCTACTGGATGGGAGACCAGCTGTCTTTGGGACATTCTCTTGAAGTTCAGCACTCACTCTGTCACCGAGGCTGGAGTGCAATGGTGCAGTCTCAGCTCACTGCAGCCTCCACCTCCAGGTTCAAGCGATTCTCCCACCTCAGCCTCCCAAGTAGCTTGGACTACAGGTGCGTGCCAGCACTCCTGGCTAATTTTTGTATTTTTAGTAGAGATGGGTTTTTGCCATGTTGGCCAGGCTAATCTCGAACTCCTAGCCTCAAGTGATTCACCCACCTTGACCAATGTGCAGATGAAAATGCCTAAATATCATGTTGCTATCACAGAGGATGTGGTGAAATTCCTTATTATAGCTCTTCAATACAGATACTATGGATTGTGAGAAAATAGTTTCTTTAATCCCTCTCCCTTTTCATTCTCTCCTTCTCCTTTTTTTTTTTTTTTTTTGTGGAGAACAGGGTCTCGCTATATTGCCCAGGCAGGTCTCGAACTCCTGGGTTCAAGCTATCCTCCCGCCTCTGCCTCCCTAAGAGCTGGGATTACAAGCATGAGCCACCACATCCAGCCTCTCCTCCTTTTTCTTTAGAATTGTTTTTGAGGCTGGGTGCAGTGGCCAATGCCTGTAATCTCAGCACTTTGGGAGGCCAAGGTAGTATGAACACTTGAGCTCAGGAGTTCAAGACCAACTTGGGCTAGATGGTGAGACACCATTTCTGGGGGGAAAAAAAAAAATTTAAAAATTAGCTAGGCATGGTGTCACGCACCTGTAGTCCAGTAGTTATTTTGGAGGCTGAGGCAGGAGGATCGCTTGAGCCCAGGAGGTTCAAGCCTGACCATGATCGTAACACTGCACTCTAGCCTGGGTGGGACAGCAAGACCCCATCTCTTTAAAAAAAAAGAAAATAGATGATGACGATGGCAAGATGAGGGGGAAAGAAAAGAGAATTATTTTTGAGAGTGATATATCTGTTTCTGTTCTGTATGTTTAATTGTGTATCTGTAGCCATCCATATCAGTATCTGTATTTGTCCTTATCTATCTACTTTTATCTCTGTGTTTATCTTTAACTATGTCTGTCTCCAAAGAAAGAGTATAGCTTTTGGCTTAGAGCATAGATCCTGGATCTGGACTGCGTAGGTTTAAATCCCAGCTCTCCATTTTGAGAATTGTGCTTTTAAGGAATTGTAATTTTAAACAAGCCACAATGTAGCCTCCAGGTGAGGTGTACACCAGCACGTATCCCTGCAAAATCACTTTCCAAAGCAGGGAAAGGATAGAGGGCCCATCTTTTGGATGAGTTTGCATTGGACCAAAATGGCTGATTCTTGCCCATCAAGAATATTCACCTAGAATATTCTTGTTGAAATTTAGCAGGTATCCCTGGAGTTTCTTGTTCATCTTGTGAAAGGTGGTTTGGTATGGGGGAGGAAGGAGGCCACGACTGGAGATTAGGAGCCCTGACTTCTAGTCCCAGTTCCTTCTCACACTGGCAGTATACCCTTGAAGGAGTCAGTCTGCATCTTTGTTCAGTGAGTATAGCAGCTCCTATCCTATTGGTCTGATAGTTATTAGGGAACAGGCACAGTGGCCCATCCCTGTAATTCCAGCTTTTTAGGAGGCCAAGGTGGGAGGGTCCTTTGAGGCTGGGAGTTCAAGACCAGCCTGGGCAATATAAGGAGACTCTGTCTCTACAAAAAATTAAAGAATCAGCCAGGCATGGTAGCACATGCCTATAGTCCCAGCTACTCAGGAGGCTAAGGTAGGAGTGTGGGAGGATCCCTGGAGCCTAGGAGGTCAAGTCCAGCCTGGGCAACATAGCAAGACCCTGTCTCCAAAAAGAAAAACAAAACACCAGCAGCAGCCTTGGTTAAGTCAGATTATTAGTAAAAACAATGAAGATTATTTCTCTAGTGAGGGAAGCAATATCAGCCGGGTGCTTGTAATGCCGACACTTTGGGAGGCTGAGACAGGCAGATCACTTGAGCACAGGAGTTCAAGACCAGCCTGGCCAACATGGCAAAACCCCATCTCTACTATATATATATGTATAATTACGAAAATTAGCCAGGCATGGTGGCACATGCAGAAAGGAGTAGGATAAATGTTTGTCTTAACACATTTGGTCTTAGGATAGATGGCTATTGGGGGAGATTCTTGCACAGAGTTTGGTTTGATTTCTATTAAAATATGAGTCAAAAGATGAGTCCATGCCTTAAGCAGAAGAGATGGCCACCTGCCCTAGGCTGGTGCTGTGTAAAGTATTTTCACACACACTCTTCATTTCACTGTTCTGTCATCCTGCAGGGAAGTAGTTTTCTTGTTTTACAGGGGAAGGAAACTCAGAAAGGCAGTGTGTATTTCTCATAGTTAAACAGCAGTAGAGGGAGGACTTGACCACAGGTGTATGTAGCTCCATAGCTGGGGTTCTCTACATGCAGCCCCTTGCTTTAGTGTGCAGGGAATGAATGGCAAGCCTGCCCCTCGATCCCAGCAACCACTAACTGATGCCTGTGTCTTGCAGAACTGCTGGAACTGTGGCCGCAAAGCCAGCGAGACATGCAGTGGCTGCAATATCGCGCGATACTGCGGCTCTTTCTGCCAGCACAAGGACTGGGAGCGGCACCACCGCCTCTGTGGTCAGAACCTGCATGGCCAGAGTCCCCACAGCCAGGGTCGGCCGCTGCTTCCTGTAGGCAGGGGCTCCTCTGCCAGGTCTGCCGACTGCAGCGTGCCCAGCCCAGCCCTCGACAAGACCTCGGCAACCACATCGCGTTCCTCCACACCTGCTTCGGTGACAGCTATCGACACCAACGGACTCTGAGCCCCGGACTCTACTTACCCTGATGGCTGCTCAGCACCACAGAGTGCTTGGGCTGTGGGACTGGCTGTTGGAACCCGTGCATGTAGCTCTGCTGGGTCATTAACAAGAAATGCATTGGTGGCAGGAAGAGTCCAAGCCTGAATAATAGCGCCCCACAGCCTCTCTGGACACTTGCTGTCTGCGGAGCCAGTGTGCCATTCTCTGCACGTGGGCAGCCGGCCCAACCTGCCTCCTCCATGGCTTTCCTGGTTTGTTCCTCCCCACTGAAGCTGACTTAGCCAGCCTCTTTTCAGTGTAGACCACCAGCTCCCCTCCCCGTCTCCTTGAGTCAGCAGACTGTCCAATGTGCTCAGCCAGGCTGGAGGCAGCAGACAGCAGGCTGTGGAGGAGGCCCCTCGGACAGGGAGCAGCCTGCCTCACCCCTGAACAGCTCTTTCGGCCCCATCTCCACCCTCAGCAGATGACACTGATTGGCCTCACGGGGACTTGGGTAAGCAACAGGCGGCACTCAGGACTCTCTTCTCAACCTTGCTGTTCAGACTTGTTAAGATCTCAGAGTCCACAGGAAAGAAGTCACTGTTGCAATAAAAGCACCCGTAGTAGCAAAAACATAAACAATAAAATTTCCCCCACATCACAGATGATTTTGGACAAGATTTTCCAACCTTGCTGGCTACTTTAGTTTGGGACCCATTTTTTTTCTCATTTGATTTTGCTTGTGCAGAAAATAGTTTCCAGCACATGGATTGGTCTGAGAGAGAATGAGACTCAGTTGTGGATAGTCTGTTCTCTCTGAGCATGTTGGCCAAACTAGTATCATCAAATTATTGAGTGGATCATCTCTTGGAAATGCAGAACTTCTGCCACCACTTGGCTATTTGCACAGTCGTCTTGTTCTGTGTCCTTTTATCTCTCAGACCACACACATCTGGAATGCTGTGGGCATCTTCTGCCCATGGGCTCTATTTGGCACCTGCTGAGCCACAGTTGTCCTGCTGGACGTGCTGTGGCAGGTTGGTAGGACTTGCCCCCACTGTCAAGGCCTGGTCTTGTCTGAAAAGCCCTCCTGGACCTCAAAGAATTCTTCGGACCTCATAGTTACAGGTCATTATATCTACTATGTTGATTTATCATCAGGCACACAACTTCTGTTTCCTTCTCTTGTGTTATCTGATAGCTTCTCTCCTTGAGCTCATCAGAAAGGTTTTATGAGATGTGAGAACCATTTTGGGAAAAGTTGATCAATTTTTCTTCCTAGCTTCCCATTTTCAAACGGGACATCACCTATATCCCTTTCAGAATGTTAGGAACTGCCTCCCACATTCTTCCCTGTCTTTTTGGGTTTTGTTTTTTGTTGTTATTGTTGTTGTTTTTTAACACAAAGTCTCGCTCTGTCAGTCAGGCTGGAGTGCAGTGGCATGAACTTGGCTCACTGCAACCTCTGCCTTCCAGATTCAAGCAATTCTCCTGCTTCAACCTCCTGAGTAGCTGGGATTACAGGCGCCCACCACCCACCATGCCCAGCTAATTTTTGTATTTTTAGTAGAGACAGGGTTTCACCATATTGGCCAGGCTGATCTTGAACTCCTGACTTCAAGTGATCCACCTGCCTTGGCCTCCCAAAGTGCAGGGATTACAAGCGTGAGCCACCACGCCCGGCTTGTCCTTTTGGTTTTGATGGGAGTCTGAGGACCCCGACTCCTCCGGCTCTCCATCTTTGAGCTTCTAGCATCCTCTCACACCCAGAAATCAGTTGGAGTAAGTCTGATTGGCCCTGCTCCAGCTGGCCTTTGAAGCACAAGTTTGAATCTCCACCTTCTGTGCACTGACCAGAGTCTAAAATAAAAGCTGTCAGTACCATAAAGGAAAAGGGATCCACACAGGTAGCCTTGTCATTGCCTACAGGTACATCTTACTTTAGAATTTCAAGTGCTGGCCGGGCTCAGTGGCTCACTCCTGTAATCCCAGCACTTTCGGAGACCGAGGCAGGCAGATCACTTGAGGTCAGGAGTTCAAGACCAGCCTGGCCAACAGGGTGAAACCCTGTCTCTACTTAAAAAAATACAAAAATTAGCTGGGCGCGGTGGCACTCAACTATAATCCTAGCTACTCAGGAGGCTGAGACAGGAGAAGCACTTGAACCCACAAGCCAGAGGTTGCGATGAGCCGAGATTCTGCCACTGTACTCCAGCCTGGGCAATACAGCAAGACTCCGTCTTAGAAAGAAAGAAAAAAAAAAAGCAAAATTTGAGAATTTCAAGTCCCTAATTCACTCTAACCAAACATTTTCAGTCTTACAAAGAAACCCAGTGCACGACACCTTTAAAATGCCTAGATTTCCATTGCCTAAAGTAAGGTGTGGCCAGGGAAAGAACAGCAGGGAATCATGTTCCTTTGCTGTGGAACACATAAGCCCCACAGTTTTCCAGTCAGCCTAATACATGGGTATCCCCCACCCCCATCTGCCTCCTTAAGCCTCAGTCCTTAGTGGGGAGCCCTGACAAGGGGGATGGAGTCAGTACCCCGGACAGGGCCACATTTGCATGAGACACAGCTGTCTCACAAGGAGGTCACAGAGCCTCTACGCCAGCTTACTGGTTTTTCATGGATTTGTTGGATTAACACTGTAAGCAGGTTTTGTTTTCGTTGTTTTGTTTGTTTGTTTTGAGATGGAGTTTCTCTCTTGTCGCCCAGGCTGGAGTGTAATGGCACGATCTCAGCTCACTTCAACCTCTGCCTCCCAGGTTCAAGCGAGTCTCCTGCCTCAGCCTCCCGAGTAGCTGGGATTACAGGCACCCGCCACCACGCCCAGCTAATTTTGTATTTTTAGTAGAGATGGGGTTTCTCCGTGTTGGTCAGGCTGGTCTCAAACTCCCGACCTCAGGTGATCTGCCCGCCTCAGCCTCCCAAAGTGCCAGGATTACAGGCATGAGCCACTGTGTCCGGCCTTAAGCAGGTTTTTAAAATCTCCAGTGGCCATAAAACAAGCCAGGGTAGCTCATGCTTTTACTGGTTGGAATAAGGAGCCAAAACCAACAAAATAATATTTATTAGGGCTCAATGCCCATTTCTATGGCTAAAGCTTAGGTTTGGTGTGCAGAACCTGGCCTACTTTTGTGGGCTGTGGTTCCTGTGACAGTTTCGTTTTCTGAATCTTTGTAATGCTTTTCCACGTGCTGCCCAGAGGCTGATCTGCAAACCTGCGCAGTATTCCACACTGAAGCTCAGTTTGCAGACCTTTTGTGTGTTAATTCTGGTCGGTTTCACACAGAAGTCACGAGGGCCTCTACCCAGGACCTCCTATTCACATTTCAAGAATCCCTTTCTGAAATTATCCAAGTCTCTGGTCAGGAGGAGGAGCACCAGTGGGGTAGGGTGGGCGGCGGCTAGAGGGGCAGGAGCGAATCCAGGTTCCTTGTGTGGTTTCCAGCCTCTGCTGACAGCACCTCAGCTACCAGGTGGGGAGTGGAAATTCAGGCTGCTTAGAGGACTGACCTCTACAGTTAATATTTGCAGTGACATAAAAGGCAAAGAGGGGCTGGCATGGTGGTACAGAAGGTATCAGTCAAGCGCAGGCTCCTCAGAAACCTAGAAACCAAAAAGCAGATGCGACATGTGACTGGCCATCAGCCAGACATGTCTAGGGTGAGACCAGTGCTCAGCACCACCTGCCAAAGGACGCTGATGAGTTGTGGGACATAATGATCTGCCAAGTGAGGAATGACTGCAGGGACCGGAGAAGACCAAAGATGCCACATGTCCCAAGAGTTTCTTGAGGGCTGGGTTTCACATCTCTGATTGTCCTTTTTGTCCCCACCTGCCTGCACCGTGCCTGACTCCATCTTGTGGGGAAGGTGACTCAAGAAGTTTAAGCCCAGGCCTAGGCAGTCCACCTCGGGAGGTGGGGGCACTCCACCCTGGGGGGCCTGCAGCTCCAGGGCTGGTGCTCTAGCAGATCCACTCAGGCACGGTTGGGTGACTGGGGGGTCACCGATTGGGTAGATTATTTCTATGGCAGTGCTGGGTTAGAAATGTCTGCCAGTGGGTCTGTCTGGAAACGGGACACATCTTCCCACCACAAGTCCACACCTGGCCTCGGCTGCTGCCCGCTCTCTGCAACGTGGACTTCCTTTGCCCATTTGGGCCAGAAGGTCACCAGGAGTTCATCATCACTGCTTGGTGTCAACTTGACATCTTCAGCTTCCAGACAAAATCTACACTTTACTTTGTACAGCCCTGTCCCAGAGTTAGTGACCCTCAGCTTGTCACCTGCTTGCAAAGGGTATAGATGTCGTCCTGGGTAGTTCTAGAGGATATCTCAGCAAGTGCGTTTGAAGGTTCAGCACAGCTGGAATTGTATGGTAGTGAGCTCTTCAGAGTGAAAACAGAATGACCGGATGGCCATCTGTCCTGGAAACTGAAGAGTTGAACAAATCACTGAAAATAGAACGCTTCGTGGAGGTTTTCTTCAGAAGTGAACTAGAAGTAAGTTTTCCAGGCTCCCAGGTCAGTAGACCAAACCAACTTCCTTCGATTTTTTTTCTTTTTAAAGCTGTTTGCAGAAAACTGGGTGGTAGCATGTCTGAACCAAATGGAAGAAGAGCCAGCGGAGCGTGCACTGTTCCAGCTCGGGCCACATGGCCAACTGTCGAGAGCAGCCCTGCCCAGACTGCAGTGGGAGCTGTGCCAGCAGCTCCGCAGGGCCCTTCCAACTCTGGAGTGTCTGTAGTTCTTGTGAAACCAAAACGTTGACTACCTGCCTCTTTCCTCGGGCATCGACGTGCTCATTTCCAAAGATGATGGTGCAGGTGACCTTTTCCATCGTGAGCCAGGAGAAGGTTAGGAGGCCTGAGGGGCAGGCGTTGCGTCCCCTCCTCCCCCTCCATAGCCCCCGAGGTGGAGCTTCCCTCACAGACCCCATCTGGTCGAGCCTACGGCTGCCCAGTGTACACTCAGTGATGCTTATACCAAATAGGGCATGTGTGCTGGTGTCTGTTGGGGACAGCCCCATCCCTACCTTGGAGAATTGCAGAGAAGCAGCAATAAGCATTAGGCGAATGATTGAAAGGACTGCTGGGCCGAGAGGCCTTCAGTCCCCTTACGTGGCTTTCCAAGTTCCTGATGAGGCTACAAAGGCTCCACTCATAAAAGAAAGCCAATAGTGTAAATAAATTAAGAACGAAGCCTCCACGCGTGATTTTTAAGGGGGATGATGAATGTGAAACCACCCACAGAATGCGTTAGAGTCTGGTTTTTCTGTGCTTTGTCATTTTACTCTGATAGGAACTTTTGTTACCTAACTCTGTGCATAACTTATTTAATGTACTGTATAAATGAACCAAAACTGTTAAATATGTATTTAGTTTGTTCTACTTAAAGTAGTCAATAAAAAGGCTATATTCCTTTTCTGCCTCAAGCTGGAATGGGACCAGGAGGAAAGGTGGTCCCTACACTAGGAGGTGTCCCCTCACCCTTATTCCCAAATCCTTGAGGAAGGGGGAGAGAGGGGCCCCAACTGGTTCTAGTCATGGCCTGAAGAGTGCCCAAGGGCATGAAGCAGGGGGTGCCTGCACCCCATGTGCCTGGAGCTGGCCTCTCTGGAAAACCAGCTGCACCAACTGGTCAGTGCCCTGTGGGGACCAGACCCAACCAGGCTGGCTGCTGGAGCCCACCAGTGGGCCTTGCGGTCAGGGGCCAACAACAGCTTCCAGACACTCCTCATTACTTCTCTCTTAAGTGGTTTTTTTGTTTTGTTTTTGGGGGTGGAGGCGGGCAGGGTCTCTGTTGCCCAGGCTGGAGTGCAGTGGCGCAATTATGGATCAATGCAGCCTCCACCTCCCGGACTCAGGCAATCCTCCCACCTCAGCCTCCTAAGTAACTGGAACTACAGGCATGGGCCACCACGCCTGGCTGATTTTTTGTATTTTCTGTAGAGACAGGATTTCACCATGTTGCCCAGGCTGGTCTCAAACTCCTGGGCTCAAGCGATCTGCCTGCCTCACCCCCGTCAAAGTCCTGGGATTACAGGCATGAGCCACTGCACCCGGCCAAGTTATCTTGTAATAAGGAAAAATGAACCACGGAGAGTCTGACCATCTGTCCTGCCCGAACAGGGTGGTGGACTTGTGGATATATTTTCTAGTGACTTATGTATTTTATTGTAAAATTTTAACACAAATGTCAACAGACCTAGACTTGTCAATATTCACTTATGTCCTTATGACACTGATGTTAAATCACAGGTAATTTTACTGTTGCCTTCCAATTTATTTGCTTAATGGTTGCATCATTTAATTGAGGCCATAATTTTTTTTAACTCTTCACCTCCTGTTGGGCAGTTGGATCGCTTTCGCGTTTTCTGGTGCAGCATACATCTATGCGTCCTTTGCATTATTTATTTCCTTAGGATAATTTTCCAAAGTGGAATTTTTGATACTGAACATTTCTTGGATCCTTGAAATCTGTACAAACTACTCTCCCTAAAAGCCCAACAGCTTGCATTGCCTCCAGCAGCCCCTGGGTGGTACTTTCTGTGGCCCAAAGGCTGGTGCAGGCACACCTTTGTGTGGAATTTCAGGCTGCCAGTCTGGTTTACCAGCCGGTGAGCTGAGGCCTCAGTTCTGTCACTTGAATACCCATCTGTGCTCTCTCCCTGAGACCCGCCTCTCCTGAACAGCCTTGCCCAAGAGGCTTGTTGCCACCACCAGCTTCACAGTCCCCTAGAATGCAAGGGGAGACGGACTGGTTACTAGGTCTGGAAACAGGGAGAAGGGCTGGCCTGTGGCCTAGGGCTTGGCTGTATGATCTTCAATGCAGGTGGTGCCAACTGCAAAGCTTTCTGGGCTGCACTGCAATCTGCCCACCTAGAACAATGACAAGATCTCAGCCATGGGACTGTCAGCCCTGCACAAGGGCACTATGTTGGTGGAAAGGGAATGTGCCATAGAAATGGCAGGCTGAAAATCTTTTCGTGACCGCAAAACACCCAGATGCCAGATAAATTATAATGAATGTACTTTTAACTGCATTGCTGAGGTCACAGATAGGACATTCCAAGAACTCAAGAGTTGGAGGGAGACTGCCTCTAGGCACAAAGTGAGACTTGGTTTTGAGCATATACAAAGTGCAGAAACAAAACTGGGGCCTTTCCCCAAAGGCAGATAGCTCAGTACCTTTGGCACCGTGAAAAGGCGGCAGGGAAGATCTGCCCACCTGCAGTGGAAACTGAACTGGAAACAGCTCTGTCCCTGCTTGAGAAAAAGGAAAAAAGAACTGGGACGGGCATGGTGGCTCACACCTATAATCCCAGAACTTTGGGAGGCTGAGATCACTTGAGCCCAGGAGTTTGAGACCAACCTGGGCAACATAGTGAGACTCCCATCTCAACAAAAATTAAAAACTTAGCTGCGCATGTCAGATTTATACTGAAGGAAGGTCAGGGAATCCTGGTGCTAAGAAATTAAGATAATTAAGGACCTTCAGGATCAATATTGTGTGTCAACCAATTATAAGCTGTCCGGAAACGACACTGAACCTTCAAGGAAATGAGCCATCGTTAGCAAAGTCATCAGGAACAATAATTGATTTAGACGCCTGGGACTTCAGATATTACAATCACCAGATACAGGCTGGGCACAGCAGCTCACGCCTGTAATCTCAGCACTTTGGGAGGCTGAGGCAGGCAGATCACAAGGTCAGGAGTTTGAAACCAGCCTGACCAACACGGTGAAACACATCTCTACTAAAAATACAAAAATTAGCCAAGCATGGTGGCACACGCCTGTAATCCCAGCTACTCAGGAGGCTGAGGCAGGAGAATCCTTGAACCTGGGAGGCGGAGGTTGCAGTGAGCCAAGATCGCGCCACTGTACTCCAGCCTGGGCGACAGAAAGACTCAAAAAAAGAAAAAGGGGGGGGGCACCAGAAACAGAAAACAAAATATGAAACCTCTAAAGATGGCACTGAAAAAGAGCAAAAAGAGTCTGAAAATGACTAGGCAGATTTGAAAATAGAATTCTGGAAATGACAATCATTGAAATAATGCATTATTCAACAATAGATTACACCAACCTGAAAAAGAAAATTAGTGGTGCGTTACCTTTGTCAGAAAGAGACAGGTTGGGCGCGGTGGCTCATACCTGTAATCCCAGCACTTTGGGAGGCCGAGGCGGGCGGATCACGAGGTCAGGAGATCAAGACTATCCTGGCTAACACGGTGAAACCCCATCTCTACTAAAAATACAAAAAATTAGCCAGGCGTGATGGTGGGCGCCTGTGGTCCCAGCTACTCGGGAGGCTGAGGCAGGAGAATGGTGTGAACCCGGGAGACGGAGCTTGCAGTGAGCCGAGATAGCACCACTGCACTCCAGCCTGGGCGACACCGTCTCAAAAAAAAAAAGAGACAGAATTGGGAACTATGAAAGATCTGTCCCTCTGGAAGGTTAGGAGGGGAAAGCCTTCTCATGTGTTACCAAGGGCAGCATCCAGGAGCCTGCTGACTGGTGTTTCTCAGCAGAAAGGGGACTGTCCTGAGGTGGGGGTAGGATCTTGGGAAGCAATCATGTCTCTTGCCCATCTCTGCTTCTTTCTGACTGCTGGTATTTCAGGGTCAGGGTCACGATTAGGCATGTCCTCTTCTTAGCCTTCCTCCCAAAGAGGCTTGGAGGACCCGGCGACCGACCGTCCCCACTCCTCAGATGACTTCATTGCCTGCTGCCAGGAGCCCTCTTGTGGACAGAGCTGGACTTTCCCCCTGGGTTGCCACCATCCCTGAGCCAGATTCCTTTCCAGAGTACACACCAGCAGCTTTTCCTTCCCCTTCCCATTAGCGTTTTCTCAGGCTGCCTTTCCACCCCATGAGTTAACATTCTCTAGGTTCCTCCTAGGGAGTTCCAGAAGCTATCGGGACTCAGTCTCCCCACCTTCTGAGGGCTGGCTCACCCGTCCCCTCGCACTGGGCTCGTCCTTGCGCCCTGTCTGCCTTTTGCAGGTCCCAAGGCCATTGTTCCTCTTTTTGGTGTAGCTGCCTCTGCCTCCTCCAGCCGGGGCTGGTTTCTGCTACCAGAGGGTGCCCTGTCCCAGTGCTGTTCACTCCCGACGGCTAGCAGCTGTTGGTGCCAGGGAGTCGATCCCCCCTGCATGACCTACTCACTGAGCTTTTTCCTCCGTAAGCTGGGGATGCTAACAATGTGTACGCCTCTGGGGTGTTGTGAGGGTAAGATGCAATCAACAACATGGGTATAGCCCCTAGCACAGAGCTTGGCACCCAAGGCGTCCCTGTAAACTGGTTGCTGCCATACCTGTTTCTCTCCCTGCCAATCTGTGGTTTCCTTGAGGATTGGTGTTTGTGTCCAGCACTCTATGTGGAGCCTGGTGTCCTGCACAAGTAGTATGTTTCAAGAATAATTTTTTGAAGACCACCTAGTTCTCAGTCCCTTTCAGCCCATCAGAGGCTGTGTTAAGGGGACTTGTTAGGAGAGCTGTAGGGCATTGGCCACCGTCTAGACTGTTGCTGGCTGCAGCCTGGCCTGGCACTGGGCCAGTCCCCAGGACAGGTTTGAATATATACAGGTGCAGGTGTGAGGAACGGGAGAGGGCAGGTGCAGGGAGCGGGTGGAAGGGTGGGGGGCGGCACCTGGCTAAGGAGCCTGGAGCTCTGCTGGCTTCAGGGCTCTGCCTGCCCTTGACCGAGTGCTGTCACCAGCCCAGGACATCTGATAATCCCCAGCACCTGCCACAAAGCAGGTACCCAATGGTTGTCAAAAGGAGCTGAAGACCCACCAAGAGCAGGATTGGGAAAGGCGCCCCAGTGCAATGGCACTCCCTGCTTCTCACAGTGGAAGCGTGGCTGTGGTGGACAGGGGTGGCTTGGGACAAAGGCCACGGACAGGGTAACTGGGGTTGCAAATGGCCCAGCTCAGCTGGAAAGCGCCTTGACTGCCGGGACATGAAATTATGACCTTGATGCTGAAGGCAGTGGGTGCCACTGAAGGGTCTTGGCCAGAAAGGTGCGTTTTCAAAATGGCAACATTTTGAAAACCCCCTCTGGCTGTGTCTTTATAGGGAACGGATGGGGTAGGAGCCAGGTGAAGAAGCTGCTGCAGTCTTCCAGGCCAGAGAGAACAGTGGCCCTGACTTGGGGGCTGGGGCAAAGCACAATGGTGGGGATGGCAGGCTACAGGTGAGGTGGGCTCGTGAGATTGACAGACGAGGCAGAGGCTTAAGGGCTTCCTCCGGGTCCCCACAGCCCCAGCCCAGCTCCGACGTTTGTTCTGTGGCTGCAGCTCCAGCCCCGTCTGCGCTCAGCTCCACTCCCACCCACTCCCTGTCTGGCACCCTCCTGTCTCCCTGTCACCTGCAAGACAACATTCCACTCCCATGCACCCGGCCTCCTCAGCTGGCTCCA